ATTCAGGGGCAGGGGAAGTCCTCAGGCGATATCAAGTTGACCTGACTGTCCCTATGCAGCCTTTCTGTCCTGGCGTATGGAGCATGTTGGGAGGAGGCAGGGACATGGCCAGAGCAAGCCGTCCTCTAGCAATCACCCAATGGTCGATGGACTCGTGGGGGTTGTTGAACGTGCAACATATTTCAGAGTAGCCCTAGGGCTGCTCTAAAGTAGGCTGGGGCCTGAACTTGTGGCTGGTAGTCTTCAGAATCAAGAAACCTCACAGGCTCTTTTGTGGCTCCCCTCCTGTGCTGTGCCCTGCAAACGTAGGGTGCAGCAGAAGCTGAAGCTAAGTACATGAAGTGAGTGCTACACACATGCTTCCCTCACTAACAAAGTGTATGAGGGTAGGGGGTCAGTAACCTTTCAAACAGCTGAGACAGACACGTGGTTTCATTTTGCACGCCTTAAAGTCAAGGGCAGAGTGACCGTATGCCCCCTTTTGGCCAGGACAGTAGCCCTTTTTAAGCTCAGTCCTGGACATCCCAACTTTTTTGGCAAAACTGGGCATTTCTTCTCATTTGCTCTTGCAGGCGGCTCAGCAGTTGGCAGGAATAAATGGGACAAAAAGTCCAGTTTTGCCAAAAAAAAGTGTGTGTATGTGTTTTGGGGGTGGAGGAACATTTGGGGAGCAAGTAGCAATGTCAGGAACCAAGCTTTGGGTTATCACATCCAGGGCCTCAGGCCAGCTCTGCGCTGGGGTCAAGAAGGGCTTAAGTGAGTGCTACACAGTGGGGGATGGACTTGAGCTGTCAGTCATTGTTAGTGGGGCTCAGGTTGCTGCCCCCGCTGGAGTTTAGTCTGTAAACCCTGTGCCAGGGAAGACGCTAGGGCCAGCCGTGAGTAGTGTACTGTTTTCCTTTTGGGAAATATTGTCAATGGGAGCTTTGCTAATAGCTTTGTTGGCAGCAGGACTGGGCCCACAATGGGGAAGAGCTCTACAGCAGCGTGCGAAGTGACCGAAGAGTGCTCTACATTAAAAGCATCTCTTAAGTATTGGACTTCTATTCAGATAGTGAGTATAGCTCATCAAAGTGGTGGCACAAAGCCACAGACCACTGCTGGGGACCTCCCAGGAGCCTCCAAGCAGGGAAGTCACCATGACCACATTGCCACTCTTTAAGAAATGGACACTCCTGCCTATGGTCAGTCCACACCTTGTGCCAAGGACATGTGGTCTCACAGACCCCTGTGCTTTCTCCTCCTCGCATTCACAAGAACCAGGAGTACAGTCGTGGCTGTAACCTGTTGAGAAGGAGGCACCATGTTGGGTTTAAACTGGTGACCTCAAAGTGAAATGTTCTGTAAGTCATGTTCAGTCTGCTGGGCCACCCAGTCACCTGACACTTACCAATCCCACGGGATGATAGGGCCAACGCAGCTACATTGAGTGGAGAGTAGAAGGGAAAGCAATAGGGCGTGATGTCACAGTAATGTGAGAGAAAGGGGGAGCTGCGAGGGGCAATGGAGGGGTGTGTGTGGGTGGGAGAGTAGAAGTAGAAACGTCTGTAACCCTATCAAAAGCCTAGTCTAATCAATAAGGATCCAGAGACTGAAGATATTTCGGACCCGCAGATGAGCGCCGAATAAGCGCAACATTTTGACTTGCTTACCAACAGATGTTGATCCAATAAAAGATATTCCTTCACTCACCTAGTCTCTTGAGGACTATTGGATGCATTTTACAGAAATTCTCTGCTATAACCGGTGGGTGTACAGATATTAAGAAAGAGGCAAGCACAGGTGAAAGATAATTATCTTCCCTGAAAAATAAATCCAGCCCTGCAATCCCAGGTGGGTTCCCTCAATCACAGGATCAGATAATACACTGGAAGCAGCAGTGTCTATTCCTCATAGCAAATTCTGTCCGGAACACTGTTCCGGAAAAGGGCCGGTGTAGACAGCCCAGTAGTCTTTTCCGGAAAAAAGCCCCAATCGGGGCTCTTTTCCGGAAAAGCGCGTCTACATTGGCTACAGATGCTTTTCCGGAAAAAGGGCTTTCCCGGAAAAGCAGCCTGCCAATGTAGACGCTCTTTTTCCGGAAATACTTATAACGAAAACTATTCTGTTTTAAGCATTTCCAGAAATTCATGCCAGTGTAGACACAGCCTAGAGATTTAAGAGGGTTAGCTCCTGAAGACACACAATGTCGTACCAATACTGTGTAAGTATGTAGGGTTGTCAACTGTCTAATTGTGCAAAGCCAAAGATGTTTGCCCTGTGCCAACCCTTTCTTGAGGCCACATCATCCCATTCACTCAATTCCCTCTGTCACTTGCTTTTTTCAATCACTTTCCCCAGGCTGGGGCAGGAGTTTGGGGTGTGGGAGGTGATGCAGGATCTGGGAGGGAGTTTGGGTGCAAGGTTCAGGCTCTAGGCTGAGCCAGGGGGGCAGGGCTGGGATGTGGGAAGAGGCTGAGGAACCTGGGGTGGCTCTCAAAAGCCACTTGCACACCTCTCTGGCTATAGCTTCTAGGTGGTGGTGGGAGGGTCTCCACGTGCTGCTGCCCACAAGCACCACCATAGCAGCTCCCATTGGGCACAGTTCCTGTGGCGGGGGCAGCGTGCAGAGACCACCCCCTCATAGCCTCTGGGATCGTGCCAGCTGCTTCTAGAAGCCTCACAGAACCCAGGCTGGTAAGGCAGCTTGTTCTAGCCCTGTCAGATTGTTAGCACCCCAAATCTCACAGCTTGGCTGAAGTAACCTCTGAGAGATAGAGTCTGATTCTGGGAGACTCCTGGCAAAAGTGGGAGGGGGTGGCCAAGCTACTTACTACAGTAATTAGGTACTGGACATACTTAATGAAATGTTGAGCGTTTCCTTATGTAAAAAAAGGATTTCAAAGAGCTACTTACTACAGTAATTAGGTACTGGGACAGTAATTAGGTAAATGAGACATCGGCCTCCCTTGCTCGGAAGCCAGTGCCCTCCTGTGCAGCTGTTTCAAGATGCTGATTGACAGAGTTGTCTCCAGACTAAATTATGAGACCTACAAGCACTGGTTTGATTTGTCATTTGCCCGGGTGCCCCATTTACTGCTGCCAAAGCCCTCCAGCCACTACAAAGGCAGCAAGCTACACTGTATTTAAAGTCCCTCTACATAAACTAGCTGTGACAGGGTGTCTGCCCCACACTGGCCCATTAAGAGTTAAAACCTACCCCTGGGAGAGGGCTGGAGCAGTGGAGCCAGCAGCTGAGGGAGAGACAGCTAATTAGGGATCAATTGAGGGCAGTATAAATTAAGGCTCCTGGAGGGGTGGAGACAGAATCACTCTTGCTCCAGTGATGGAGCAGGAGGGACCTGGCTGCCAGGGAAGCTAGAGGCTTCCTGATGTAAAGCAGGGCTGAGGAAAGGCAGGCTGAGCTGGGGAAGCTCTGGCAGGGCAAACCCCCAGGATGCAGGACCTGAGGGTGCTAGGGCAGCAGCAGGTCCACACCCCCTTGCCAATGATGAGTGGCCATTTCAGACTGCAGTTTGCCCCTGAGGCAGGGGCTAGATGAAGACTAGCAGAATGGTCACTGAGGCAAGGTAGGCATAGGGGGTTGTAGGTTCTCTGTGGCAGGCAGGCAGTGCCCAGAAGGGAGGATGCTGCCATCTGGGAGGGATGTGAGTCCTAACACAAAGTGGTGGAGAATAACAGCTAATAGCAGGCATGACACCAGCCAGCAGGGGGCACTCCAGGGCTAAAGAGGCTAATTCTTGAGTGACCAGCAGGAGGTGCCATGGCATTGAGTCACACCTGTTCTTTCCATGTTGATTTGTGGGTCGAGGTAGTCTCTGCACATGTATCTCTCCTGCCCCTGTAGAAGTCTGCTCTACAATAGCTTCTCTGGCTCTGTTGTTCCTGGTTCTGGACCATGTGATCAGCTCTGTGCAGGCAGGGGGTGTGCCAAAGAGATGTCTATCATGCCTCACCGCTGCTCAGAGAACTGCAGAAGGTCTAATATCGTTTGAGACTGCTTTACATTTCCTTAGGAGCCAGAGTAGGATTGCATGGGAGGCGAATGCCAGAAGGGTGAAGAGAGCTCTAGAGTTGGTGTGCAGTCCCTACATTTCTGCATGGATCTTCCCCCACTCAAAGATCCATGCAGGTTTTTCTGGATTTTGGAAGCTAAAATACTTCTTCCGTGGTGAGGCAAACCCAGTTGCAGGAGAATAGAATATGGTCTTTCCAGTCCCCTGTTTTTATCATTGGGGAGGAAGGGGAGGGAGAGAAATCAGTGCACTGTGAGATAATTAACCTCTTAGTTACTGATTAATGGACTACACCCAGGATGTGTATATCAAACAGAGTAGGTGTTACCTACACTATAGTTCAGTCTCTGTCCCTTTGGGCCATTCCTTTTCAGTATCACTGAATGATTTTACTTATGTTAGATATAGGCCTTTAGGTTTGGTTTTAATTTCCTGCAGCCTTAGTTTCAAATGAGAGCAGGAGGGACAATGGGGTCAGCATGATTTGGATCCTCATTGCCCTGATATTCTGCAATTGTCTGTTGGTTTTCTGTGAGTACCACAATCTGGCCAAGTCTAATGACTGTAAAGATAAAATCACCCCTGTGCAGAGGGACTACATTTGAGAGCCCTCAACAGAGCCGTTCCCTAGAGTACTGTGAATCGGGGCCACTGCTCTGGGCCCCACACTTTCGGAGGCCTTGCAGACAGGCACAATTGCCAGCACACTCAGTCACAGAAGTGACAGGTTGGTCCCAGAAGTGATGGATTTGTCGCTTCCACCCCAGGCACCCCCTTAGGAACAGCCCTGCCCCTCAACATAGAGCAAAAATGTGATTGATATAGTACTTAGCTCTTGTGCTGATTCTTTGTGCATGGCTTGAATTTCACCAGAGAATAAAATTCTGCTGTATAACAGCTTCCTTTTCCCCTTGCATTGTGGGTGTCAGAACAATATTGCCAGAGATGTAAACAGGAATAAGAGATGAGACTGTTGAAATCATATCATATTTATTACATACATGAGATATAAAAACAGATTACCAAAACAGCATCATTTTTTGTGAGGACCCTGGCAAAGAAATACATTGATGAAGCAGATTGGCAGGCTTGTAATATTTATGGCATTGCAATTCCTCCTATTTTCCTCCTCATGCCCATGAACAGAATACACGCTATCAACTGAGGTTTAAAGATGGGCTACAGAAAAGGTATAATCTAGTGCTGAAAATGGCAACGACAGTGAGGTGACCCATACATTGGTATTTAAATGGAAAATGGCCATATATACTGCTGTAAATAAAAACACGGGGGAAAACAAATTGAATGTTCAGTTTTAAATTCTAACATTGAAAATAAAATAAGCTCAAAGTCCACCATGAAAAATGGGGCTGTGATATGTGAAACAACCCTTTTCGCTTAACAAGTCCATTTTTTTGTTAGCAGGCAGAGTTCTTATCCTCTGGCAATTGCATTCTTGCTTCTTGTCCTGTGTTGTTTGCAAAGTCTCAGGGATAGTCAATACCTATGGGGTCCAAACGCTGTTCTGAAGCTGGGACCTCAGTGCAAGTACATTATCTGTCAGATTGCATCCTTGAATTCTCTGAGTGGTCAGTGCCAAGACCACACGAGGATTATTCCCTTTTTAGCATTAATTTTGTCCACATTTAGGGGTCTCCTGGAGTGTTTGTTTCAATAGGGTTTTGTAGGCCATCTTCACCCCTTTTCTCCAGCAAAATTAAATGTGACAAACAATGAAGTGGCAGGTAGTAAAGTGCTTTATACAATGAAATATTTACATTTGGATAGGATCAGTTTTAACACTTTGTGGCCAAAACGTCACATACGCTGCCCCTCTTTAGTAAAACATCGTTGCTGACGAAGAGCTGTGTTTGGCTCATAGTTATGCTGGTGTAAACACAGAGTCATTCCATTGACTTCAACGGGGGTTCACACCGGTGTAACTGAAAAAAATTGTTCGACCCGTCACCTATAAGTAACCTAGCTGATACCCTACACATTCCTTTAAAGGCACATGGGACCTCTTTTTGATGATGGTACATGGGACCTTGTGCTATTAAAGAGCATTGCAAATGACATGTTGCCAATGGAGCTCTCCCACTGATACAAACATAAACTCCAGTTCTATAGAAAGCTGTGAGTAGCAATGAGCCAAAGACTGATCTTAGGGGATGGCTATCCTGCAATCCTAGGTAGGGTGGCCATCAAGGTATCTCAAGAATAGAGGACAGTTGCATTTAGTGCATGGGGGCCTAGGGCAGAGGGTTGTGGGGGGTTCAAGAGTCAGGGCTGTGGGTGGAGGTGCTGAGGGTGTAGGGGTGAGTGCAGGAGGGGCAAGGGCGCCATTTTGGGAGAGTGGGGGGGCCTGCAGCCATACATACTGGGTCACTTCTACTCTTCTTCCTCTGACTCTGTGGCGAGGCAAAAGTTCACAGCCTGCTGCATTCCTCTTCTCTCCTCCCCTCTGCTGCCAGGAGCGAGAGGATGGCACAAGCTGAGAATTTTCCCTTCACTCCCTGATAGTCAGGGGAAGAGGAAGAAGACCCAATACTCACGGCTGCAGCCCCCGCCCAGGCCACTGGGGAAAAGGGCTATGGACTAAGCCCCTTTCACTTATCTGGCTATCTGCTGCTTAGCAAGGTAGCCTGCAGGAGAGCCCCAGGAGAACGGCAGGGATCAGCTCAGCCGCAGCTGAGCACCCCAGTCAGTCGACTTCTTGCTAGAGCGCATTACTGGGTTATTTTCACCTCTTGTTTCAAAAGAAAAGTAGACATAAAGGTGTCCTGTTTTGTATCGACAGGACAGAGGGCAGAGTAGCACAAAACAGGACTGTCCTGCATTAATGAGGACAAATGACCACCCTAATTCCTGGGGAGTGATCACAGCATGAGCTGACGTACCCAATCTCATTTTAATCTCGCCAGCTCAGGTCCTGGAGCAGTAACACCCCTGCAGTGCAAGCTTCAGTGTCAGAAGCCTGGCAAATCCAGATCTGAAGACGGGTTTGCTCAGCCTGTGCTGAACCATGAGCTGCCACAGCTCCACTGGCCCAGGATTTAAGCTATGGAGATTGAAGTTAGTTGTGTGTTTTTGCCCTGAATGGCAACCACTCCCAATGACTGCAGTCAAGCCATACACTCGGAGCATAGCCATGTAAATACAGGGAGCTCCCTCAACTTCACTGAGGTTAGTCAGGATTTACATGGGTGTAAATGGCAGCAATTTGTGTCCATCCTCTTTAGTTTATGGGCATGATTTCCTCCTCACAATTTTATAGTGGTGTAACTTCGCTGTCTTCAAGAGAGTTACTCCAGAATTACACTGTGCTATGTGAGGTGAAAATCAGGTCCTATATTTTTTTAATTTAACATTAGGTCACATGAGCACCCTTCCAATGAAGATCCAGGAGACTACATGACCCATTGACCAGGAGGGGTTACACTAGACAGAGCCTCTGCCTTGGAACACTGATCTACACATTTGGGCACTCTTTTCTGATGTTCCAGTTTTCATTGGAGAGGTCTTTTGTGTGTGAAGTTTGCATAAAGAAATGCCGTACCTGGTTGTTCACTTCTAGTTGCAGTCTCTTTTTAAAATCTCTAAGACTTTTCTTCCAAGAGCTGATTTCCACTGGTGGACAAAACTTTTCATATTGACTATCAGTCTCCCAGTCCGTACCTCCTCATGCCCCGCTACAAGGTATTCCAAGCCTGTAAATCATCAGAGAGGTCAAGGGTTGTAGGGCAGAATGCTTACAAAGGTATCTACATGGAACATTAATAGAAGTGGCTGTTCTGAAGGAAAAAAAACATTTATTGGTGTAGAAATAGTGTACATATGGAGAGATGCATCACAGTCAGCCTTGTGCAAGTGAGATCTGCATGAGACGCTGTGTACAGGCTCTGAATCTGGTGGTGACCTTTCTTGGAATCTCCTAGGCTACGTCTACACTGGCCCCTTTTCCGGAAGGGGCATGTAAATTTCACTAGTCGTCGTAGGGAAATCCGCGGGGGATTTAAATATCCCCCGCGGCATTTAAATAAAAATGTCCGCCGCTTTTTTCCGGCTTTTAAAAAAGCCGGAAAAGAGCGTCTAGACTGGCCCCGATCCTCCGGAAAAGGGCACTTTTTCCGGAGGATCGGGGCCAGTCTAGACGCTCTTTTCCGGCTTTTTTAAAAGCCGGAAAAAAGCGGCGGACATTTTTATTTAAATGCCGCGGGGGATATTTAAATCCCCCGCGGATTTCCCTACGACGACTCGTGAAATTTACATGCCCCTTCCGGAAAAGGGGCCAGTGTAGACGTAGCCACATTGTACAGGTGTGAGTGGGAAGAGCTGTGATGGTAGAGGAGCAGAGGGTGTAAAAGGTGCTCATTTTCATACCCTTTGTTTACAGTCTTAATAGAAGTTGCTACATTAAATTAACTCCAGTGCAGCCAGCATAAGGCTTATGCAACACTCAGACCCTCATTAAAATCCTCAAATTAGGGCATACATGGGACATAAATGATCTATAGGCCTCATGTTGACCTTCTTCTGCGCAGGGGCAGATTTCACTCCCGTTAAGCCCCAGATGGCCAGGCACAGCTGGCATGGTGTGTGTATAACTTGTTTTCTGTTTGTGCATGTGTGTTATAAGAGTTGCACAAAAAGGGAAAATCATGAAATATGCAAACAAAACAAAAAGTTCCACGCTGCTATTTTTTAGCTCTTGGTCTGAAGGTGAATTAAGATTCCGAATTTAAACAGATTAGTACAATGTAGCCTAGGAAAGCAGTTATTCTCATCAATAATTCATTGATCTATTGAATTTCAGATATTTAAAAATACAGGATCTGCTGCAGACCAGTAAGGCAAGTTCCATATGTATTTCTAGCCTGTCATGGAAATCCACAGCTGCAGGTTAAACGCCTTTAGGAACACAATTAGCTACAAGACACTCCAGTGAGGCAATGGGGCTATTAGAAGAACTGGAATGAGCACCTGGAGGGTGCCTGAGGGCTTGCATTCAAACCAAAACATGCTTCCTTACATTCTGCCTCACCTAGACTTTTCAGAGATATGTTAGCAGCATCCTTCTAAAATCTTGCCTGATTTCTAGATATTTCCACAATCCAGTGAAAAGCAGCAACACAGAATCCTGCACATGGCTCCATTACCTGCTTTTGATGCCATAGGCCTGATTTTGAACTCACCTGATTTTACATAGGTGTAACTCTTCTGTTCATGGGAGTGGAACTGCTTAAGTTATACTAGATTACTGGCACTGAGTCAGGAAAGTACTTAAGCAAGTGCCTGATTTTAAACACAGGAGCATTGTAGTTGGCATCATCATGTCAAGTGACAGCCACTTAACAAATGTACCATACTTAGTGACTGACAGACACTGTGTGTGTGTGGGAGGGAGGGGGGGAGGGGTTTTATGTCATTCAGTCATTCAACGCTTTTTGAAAAATTACCACAGAACTCAAAATTTTTCTCACCGACACTAGTGTCCATGTACAGACATGTTGCTGACCAAGCAGTCCTATTGAAATCAATGTGATGCCTCGCATCAAGTTAGGCACACCTTGTTGAGACAGGGCTAGTGGGGGGCAGAGGGAAGAATGTGTCCCTAGATGTTTCATATAAGGCTGCAAGTTATGTGAAGAAGCCCTGATGGCACACAGGAATCTGAAAGCTGTCCTAGATGGGCAACTGACAATGCCCCTGGAGTCAGGGAATGATGATGATTATTAATATTCTGATATTTATATAGCACCCACAGGCCCCAGCCAAGCTGAGGGCCCCTTTGTGCTAGGGGCTGTGCAAACAGTTTAATGGATAACCACAGCTGGTATGAAGACGCCATAGTGGCCTCTGTACCAGACCCTTCTGGCTCCCTCTGACCATTCTAGGGGCTGTTTCAAAGATAGCATGTTGGGAGTATGGCTGGATGCTCTCATATGTCCCAGCCAGCCTCAAGATCTGGACAAGAGAAAGCTGGCTTGGAGCCATCTTTGCCACCTACAACTCCCTAGACACAGCTGAAGATTTAGCCCAATGTAGGTTGTAGTTTTTAGCAGAGGAAGGGAATTTTAAAAGAGCTAATTCCACAAGTAACGGAAATATAGCTAGCTATATAATTTGATACAATTTACTATCTGTTTCATCTGAGTTTTTGGGTACACACAGTCATTTGGTGTAAGGTAAACACAGGATACATATTACAATATGACGCTCTGCAGGGCACTCATTATGGCTAGATCAACATTTCTGTTAGAAACATAATTTTTTTAAAGGACCATAAACTCCCCCTAGACGAGGCAGCTTGGCATGAAGCTCTAAGTAGGGAAGCAAGTTATTTTTTATTTAGCAGTTGATTTTGCAGACTTGCTTTTTTTTAAAAAAAAAGTGGCTCAGCTGCTTTTATGGAAATGCAAATAAAACTAAAAAGCTTCCTGAGATGTCTGATTCTGGTCTTCAAGGTTGTGAATTTCATCTCAAATTCCTTGTTTTCAGTTATGAGGAACGCTGTGTTCTTTTCCGATGTTTGGCAGCACTGCGATTAGGAAGTGGAATCTGTTTCCTTGAAGGTGATTAAGACACTTACATCTTTTGTGTTACTGCCCTCTTAAAAGTTCACGTGTGTGTTGGAAATATTCCTTGTAGGAACTCAGCGAGCTTATCATCGGAACAGTGGGGTGGTGCAATGTGATTTGATGAGTGTTTTAAGATTTTTGTGGCTGGAAGCTCATGATCCTAGCTTCTCTTCTGTATTGCTGGGACAGAGTGAAAACAGGCTATTTTTACAGTATTGTTTCTCTTTGATCTTGTCCATGTTTTAGGGAGATATCATTTTCAGAGCAGTTATGGGTGAGAAAATTGTTTCATGTCTGCTTTGACTTTTTTGTGCAATTGTTCATAGTTTTTACTGATCTGAAGGTTATGCGTTCTTATTCTAAGAAAAGAGTAAATGGATCATTTATCTTAAAATAGAGTACTACCAACTGACCAAAAATTTGGAATTCTTTTTTACTCACTTTCTAGTTTTTGGGCATGAATGTTGCACTTGGTTCATGCTTTCAAGCTTTTCTCTAGGACACTGAGGACTAGATTCTTTTGCAATCACAGGCCTCCAAGAGCTGGGGCATTAAGAAAAACACCAAGTTCTGAACCAGTGATGAGCTCCATGGAAGCAGATCCCTGTGCCAGCAGCAGAGCTCTGTGTTGGTACAGGGTCTTCTCATACCATCTCATTGCAGGATTGGGGGATTAGTCCTTTTTCCTGCTTAGGGTATATTTGTGAGAATATCACTATTTCCTTAAATGTATTCATTACTTGAATTCATTCAATTAATTTTATAGAAGTGTTTTTACTGTACTGATGGATTCCAATTCACCCAATATCGGATGGTTTGTCATTGTGTTACTCCCGTTACACACTTGCATGAAAGTGAAGTAGGACTATGGTAGAGTAGGGCCACAGAATTAAAAATCTGAGTTCTGTTGCTTGCGATTGGTCCAGATAAGTCACAGAATTGGCTCTGTGCCCTGATGGGAAGTATGTACAAATATGTATGTGTGCAAAATTAAAGTGCAGTGGCCATGACAGTACACTCCTTTTGCTTTTCACAAACTTTTCTGAGAGGAAAAGGCTCCCATAAAGTTGAACACAAAAGTGGCACTAGGGTAGCTGAAGTGAATGTGATAGCAGAGGTGACAGAAGTGTATTTCTATTGGGTCTCCCTGACAGACTTCATCTCCAGCCTGAGCAGACGTTTCTCATCATTTTTTTGAGGGTGGGAGGGGGGTTAGCAGTAGTTTAATTGCTGCGAAGCTTCACCTACACAGGCGCAGGTAACTATAGTAGTAGCGGCCCACCAAGGGCTAACCCTGGTGAACTGGATCTGGCCCGCTGGTCAATGTTTGCCCATCTCTGATCCCTTGATCTTCATTATTCAACCCTAATGGAGTTTCACTAGAATTACACCAATAAAGCTGAGATCAGAATCTGACCTTTCCTGTTTGCTTTTGCTTTACATATGGAAACATTAAGAACCTGTATCTATTGCATTAAAATGTTTACGGATTTTTGCAAGTATCCATATCTTATGTGCTTAAATAACAAACTCAGGCACAGGGATGCTGTTTCACCCTAATCCCTGTGCCATGAGAAGTATATTAAAAAGAATACATAAGTACATCAGCTCTATCTTCTGTAGGTAATCCCTGAAATTCCATGTACTGTAGGGAAGAAAGCATTTTATAAAATGTTTTAGAAATGATATAAAAATCTAAATAGAATAGAACAGAAAGAAAATGTTTCAGCTAATAACTGATCATTTGTGCTGAATAGTGAAAAAGATAGTTTGGCGGGATTTTGGTTTCTCTCTATTGAAAAATTCTCTCTCTGAATTTCTGGGTTTCTGTGATGCTCACCAAGGTAGCATGCATTGCTTTACCGGCATTGAGAATACTTCATTAGAAACCTCATCATCTGGTCACTAAGGGCATGTCTACACTAGGAAATTATTTCGAAATAACAAATCATAACTCCCGAAATAACTATTTTGAAATAAACTTATTCCCCAAGGAAAGCAGGAGTACAGATTTTGAAATAACCAGTCTGTTATTTCAAAATAACGAGCTTGGCAGTGTGGACGCTCCACTTATTGTTTTGAAATAACTCCCTAGTGTAGATCAGGGCTGAAGGACAAGCAAAGATGATCTAGCAAACACCCCCTCCCTCCCAAGAAAGAGCACCTTTTGTATCATCCTACTCTAAGTTAATTCAATACTACTTTCGAAGAAGGTATTCTAAGCCTGCACCCCTTTGGGAGAAGGTTATAACAGTAGAACAGTAATATGACCAGAGCTAGAACTGAAAAAACTGGAATGTGTTATTCTGGATCTCAAGCAAAATTAGATTTGAAAATAAGCCTCTCTTGTAGGTGCCTGGCTCTACAGACAGCTGCTTTCAGGAGCGAGGGCAGCGAATGACTTGTGGGTTAGCTATATAAAGCTGTACTACTGTAATTATGCTTTACAAAGAGCAGTTTCACTCTTCTCAACATGTGAAGTGAATAAGCATTTTCTATACCAAATACAAGTAGTCCACTGAAATTACACTTAGTGTTTAAATGATGGAGTAAAATCCAGTATTTTAGTGAAGAACTATAAAGTAAATACATTTGAGGATGGGGATGGAAGGACGAAGAAGCAATCAGTATAAATTTGTTGGGGGCATAGTTCTCACGAGGCCAAAGCCAAATACCTACCAGGATTAAGAATTGGACAAGTGCAGCCTCTGTTAGTCCAGGATTCCGGGTAGAGAGTTCGCTTTCCTCGCAGAATCTTAAACTTGGTTGATTTCAACACTTTCTTGATCTTCACATTTACTTCTGCATGGGAGCCTTTGTCATGAGCTGATAAAATCTTTGCTTTCACCACTGGGAGGGCACAATTTCAAAGGAAGGAATACATAACATGGTTACACCCACCTCTCTTTTGAATGCAGTTCTCAGAGTTGAGGACCAGCATGAATACACATTTGCAGAATTAAATGGAAAGTTTGCATTCGCAGAGTGGGTGGAATTAAATGGAAAGTTTGCATTCGCAGACTGAGCCAGAGTGGGTACATCTACACAGCAGTCGCAGAGTGTGTTTGCAGCTGAAACCCAAAGCTAGCTCATGTACAGCTACCTGAAGAGAAAATGACACCTACAGCTCCAGTGTAGACATACCCATACAATCTTACTGCCATGCTATGCCGGCTGCTGCAGAAATGACCTCTAAAAGAGCAGTGATGCCAGTAAAGGGATTTAACACCTTATAACAATGTGTCTTTATTTAGAGTCCATATTAAAAATCACAAGAAGACACCTTTTCTATACTGCAGCACCTCACTTCAAGCTTCTGATGAACCCTTCAGTTCAGCTCTTGTCTCTGTAATTTAGCTGACACCATGTTATACTGAGCAATGAAAGGGTGGGAACCCTGAGTGCACTTCAGATAAGATTTATGAAGTTGTTTTTTGCTTTTATTTCTTATCTTTTGCTAGATTAAACACTGTCACTATCGCAGTCAGGAAGCAGAGCAACACAGAGATGGATTTTTTTTCTAATACTGCTAAGCCAGGGCCATATTTCAATGACATGCGGCCCCTTGAACTTCTCTTTGTGGGTGACTGTGCAGGCTGTAAGGGCCTGGATTATCTTTCACTGCATTTTAAACTCTAGCACGAGACAGAGCAGGTGCAAAAAAGTTTGAAAGCGCATGAAATGAAGGGAGTGTTATACAAAGAATTCCTTCCTCTGCATGGTGTCAAGACAGTTCACTGGCGTTCAGCTGCATGCTCACCATGGACAAAGTTTTCCCCTTACTCCTTTAAGTCTCAATATGCAACCACTCTAACATCACCCCGTTCCCACCAGTGAGCTCTTGTTGACAGGAGGCTGGTCTTTAGCAGTGAACTCTTAAGGGTTGATGGAAGAGATTTCTCAGTGAATGGTCTGTGCCTATGGAAATCATTTCGTCTTGTGAGACATCAGAACTCAGAGCTAATGGCTTCCAGACAATGGTGCAGGGATGACTTTCTGGACAAGGTCTATCTCTTAGTATTGGTCCTTGAGCCAAGAGGCTTTTCTAGTGGTTAGAGGGTGGATAATGGAGCTAGACACTTGATTGTGCTTGGCCATGATGCGTAGTGTGTACCTCTGTGTGTGTGTGTATGTTTATAATTATATATTTTGCACATTGCCTAAATACTTGTGGTGACTTGCATCAAATAAAGGCCCAGTCCTGCATTTCTTGTGTACCCTGTCCTCCCACTGAAAATCAAGGGGGTAATGAGGATGCAAAACATGCAGGGAAAAGTTCCAAATGTATGAAGGACCACATGCTGAGGCTGGCAGTTGGAAGCTGTGAGCTTCTTAACGAGGATTTGAAACCTTGAACCCTCTGTTTGTTGGGCAAGCCTTAACCGGGGTGGGGCTATCAGGAAGGCCAAGGCTATATAAAGCTCACTAGTAAGCAACCAGGGAGCTTAGTGAACAGGAGCAGCTAACAGGGAGTTTCATGAGGGAACTAAGAGGGGGAGTTGGAAGGGGGCTAGGTACGCCTGGTATTCTTTAAAACATTTAAACTAAACTAAAACCAAAGCTAGCTGATTTAAATAAAAACCTTATCAATAATCTAATTATCTGTAAGAATGCAGACAAAAGCCCAGCAGCAGAGTGGGGGCTATCCTGTTTATTGCACCCAACGCAGCATGTATAATTACCTGCCCTGTGGACGGGTGGCGTATGTGTGCATTTGGTGCAAAGAGCTCTTGGCCCTCAGAAACCATGTACAGGCTCTGGAGGTTGCATTTGGTGCAAAGAGCTCCTGGCCCTCAGAAACCATATACAGGCTCTGGAGGTCAGGATGACTGAATTGGGGGAGCTAAGGGAGGCAGAGAGGTATGTAGATGAGGCTTTCTGGGACACTGGAACTATCTCACCTCTAGTCAGGCAGCTCCTGTGCTCTTAAGGAGGGTGAAAGGCTCAGGGAAGGAGAACAGTCAATGGGAGCAGTGGGAAACCATCCCATAGCTGTGATCCTCCTTCCAGAAGATGTTGTGGTATTCTCTCACATTGAGGATACCTCTCTGGGGGAGGGAACTCCAGTCATTAGGAAAAGGCAGGTGTTAATAATGGGGGATTTGATCATTGGGAATATAGACAGCTGGGTTTGTAATGACTGGGAGAACCGAATGGCAACTTGCCTTCCTGGTGTGATGGTTTTGGATCTCTCAAGACATCTAGATAGTCTTATGTGTAGTGCTGGGTAGGAGCCAGTGGTAGTGGTACATGTAGGTACCAATGACAGAGCGAATGGTAGGAGAGAGGTTCTGGAGGCCAAATTTAGGCTACTAGGAAAGAGACTGAAATCCAGCACCTTGATGGTAGCATTCTCTGAAATGCTTCCAGTTCCATGCACAGGACCAGGTGGGCAGGCAGAACTTCAGAGTCTCAATGCATGGATGAGGGGTTTAAATTTATTAGGAACTGGGGAAACTTTTGGGAAAGGGAGAGCCTATACAGGGAGGATGGGCTCCACTTAAATCAAAATGGAACAAGATTGCTGGTACTTAACATTAAAAAGGTCATACAGCAGTTTTTAAACTAAGGGCTGGGGGAAAACTAACAGGTGCAGAGGCGTACATGACATCTCTTAGGGGAGGGTCTATTAATAGAGATTCTCAATGTTCTGGTAAAGAGGAGAGGATAAAGTACAGGTAAGATCACATTTGTTCTTTTGAAGCATCACATTACTTCTGACACTTAAGGGATGAAATCAAGAAAGATTGGTGTAAATAATTTATAGAACATTACCTATTGGTGTTAACCATAGTGATGTTCAAGTGAAGCTAAGTCTAGTGAAACCAGGCATCACAGAAACTTGGTGGAATTAGGACAATCAATGGGACACTGTCATACCTGGGTACAAAATATATTGGAAGGACAGAACACGTTGTGCTGGTGGGTGAGTGGCACTATACGTAAAAGAAAATGTAGAATCAAATGAAGTAAAAAGCTTAAATGAACCAAAATGTGCCACAGAATCTCTAAGGGTAATAATTCCATGCTCTAATAATAAGAATATAGCAGTAGGGACCACCTGACCAGGATAACGATAGAGACTATGAAATGCTAAGGGAGATTAGAGAGGCTATCAAACTAAAAAGCTCAATAATAATGGGGGATTTCAACTATCCCTATATTGACTAGACAGGATGGGTTTCAGAGATAAAATTTCTTGATATCTTACATGACTGCTTCTTGGAGTAGCTGGATCTGGAATCCACAAGGGGAGAGGCAATTCTTGATTTAGTCCTAAGTGGAGCTTAGGTCCAAGGGGTTAATATAACTGGATGTAATAAAATTTCCCATGTGGTGGGAAAAACAGCTCAGCAGCCCAACACTGTGGCATTTAATTTCAGAAATTAAAAGGTACAGTGACAAAAGTAAAATTTCTGCAAGCTGCATACAGACTTTTCAAAGACACCATAATAGAGGCCCAACTTAAATGTATACCCCAAATTAAAAAATACAGTAAGAGAACCAAAAAAGTGCCACCATGGTTTAACAACCAAGTAAAAGAAGCAGTGAGAGATAAAAAGACATCATTTAAAAAGTGGAAGTTAAATCCTAATGAGGAAACTAGACAGGAACATAAACTTTGTCAAATTAAGTGTAAAAATATAATAAGAAAAGTCACAAAAGAGTTTGTAGAACAGTTAGCCGAAAAATCAAAAAGTAATAGCAAGATTTTTTTAAGTACATCAGAAGCAGGAAGCCTGATAAACAACCAGTGGGGCACCTGGACAATCGAGATGCCAAAGGAGCACTCAAAGATGATAAGGTCATTGTGGAGAAACTAAATGAATTCTTTGCTTTGGTCTTCATGGATGAGGATGTTAGAAACCTAAGCCATTCTTTCTAGGTGACAAATCTGAGGAATTGTCCCAGATTGAGGTGTCATTAGAGGAGGTTTAGGAATAAATTGATAAACTAACAGTAACAAGTCACTGGGACCAGCTGGCATTCACCCGAGTTCTAAAAGAAATCAAATGTGAAATTGCAGAACTATTAACTGTGGTTTGTAACCTATCCTTTAAATCAGTTTCTGTACCTAATGACTGGAAGATAGCTAATATGATGCCAATATTTAAAAAGGGCTCTAGAGGCGATCCTGGCAGTTGCAGACCAGTAAGTCTAACGTCAGTACCGGGCAAATTAGTTGAACCGACAGTAAAGAATAAAATTGTCAGGGACATAGATGTACATAATTTGTTGGGGAAAAGTCAACATGGCTTCTGTAAAGGGAAATCATGTCTTACTAATCTACTAGAGTTCTTTGAGGGGGTCAACAAACATGTGGACGTGGGGGATCCAGCAGATACAGTGTACTTTTATTTCCAGAAAGCCTTTGTTAAAGTCCCTCACCAAAGGCTCTTAAGCAAACTGAGCTGACATGGGATAAGAGGGAAGGTCCTCTCATGAACTGATAACTGGTCAAAAGACAGGAAACAAAGGGTAAGAATAAACGGTAAGTTTTCTGAATGGAGAGAGGTAACTAACGGTGTCTCCCAAGGGTCCATATTGGGACCAATCCTATTCAACCTATTTATAAATGATGTGGAGAAAAAAGTAAACAGTGAGGAGGCAAAATTTGCAGATGATACTAAACTGCTCAAGATAGTTAAGACCAAAGCAGAGTTTCAAGAAAGAGCTTCAAAAATATCTCACAAAACTAAGTGATTGGGCAATAAAATGGCAAATGAAATGTAATGTTCATAAATGTAAAGTAATGCACATTGGAAAACTATAATCCCAATTATACATACAGCATGATGGGAACTAATTTAGCTGTTGTTACTCAAGAGAGAGATTTTGGAGTCACTGTGGATAGTTCTTTGAAAACATCCACTTAATGTGTAGTGGCAGTCAAAAAAGCAAACAGAATGTTAGGTATAATTTAAAAAGGGATAGAGAATGAGACAGAGAACATCTTATTGCCTCTATATAAAACCATGGTATGCTCACATCTTGAATTCTGCATATAGATGTGGTCACCTCATCTCAAAAAAGAGATACTGACATTGGAAAAGATTCAGAAAAGGGCAACAAAAATTATTAGGGGTTTGGAACAGGTCCCATATGAAGAGAGATTAAAAAGACTGGGACTTTTCACCTTAGAAAAGAGGAGACGAAGGGGGAGATATGATAAACGTATATAAAATCATGACTGGTGTGGAAAAGTGAATAAGGAAAAGTTATTTACTTGTTCCCATAACATAAGAACTAGGGTGACCAAATTAAATTAATAGATAGCAGATTTAAAACAAACAAAAGGAAGTTTTTCTTAACACAGTTCATGGTTGGCCTGTGGAACTCCTTGCCAGAGGATGTTGCGAAGACCAGGACTTTAACAGGGTTCAAGAAAGAACTAGATAATTCCTAGATGGTAGGTCCATCAATGACTATTTGCCAGGATGGATAGGAATGGTTTTTCTAGTCTGTCAGAGACCTGGAATGGATGATGGGAGAGGGATTGCTTGATGATTCCCTGTTCTGTTCACTCCTCTGGGGCATCTGGCATTGACCAGTGTTGGCAGACAGGATATTGGGCTAGATGGACCTTTGGTCTGACCCAGTGTGGCCATTCTTATGTTCTTATAAATAAAAATGTAATTTTCTCTATAATTGTTCCTTGAAAATGATCGTGGGTAGAATCAGAACACAGGCAAACTGGGTGTCTGCCAAGTGACATGCCTAGTGAGTGTTCATGGGAATCCACCTCTGACTCTTGGCATTTCTTGTAAAGTTGCAATAAGAGAGGTAAATATTATTGCATCCTTTATTCAGTTTTGCTGGTTTAATCCATTTTCATGGGGCACCAGCCTCGCTGACCTTACACTTTTATACCATCTCCTCAAACTGCCCTTGAGGTGCTAACAATAACTCAACCCAACAAGAATATGTTCACCTCGTAACTCACCATATGTGTACTTCATTCCACAGAAGACCTTGGGATTCCCTAAAACTTGTTCTTTGCATTCACATTTACCTGTGGAAACAAGCCAAACCCAAAATGTCCCATGAATAGTATCCAAAAGATTGAAACATGCAGCAAAGGAAGGGAATGGACCAGAGCAGTAGGTGGGTAATGGGATGTAGTAGAGCTTTTCAGTCTATCATTGCAGGTTTAGGTCAGTCTGCGTGGGTAGAGACAGGGTCTAGCTGAAATCCTTGCCCCACTGAAGTTAGTGAGATTTCTGCTAATAACTTTGTGATGGCTTGGATTTCACCTCTTGTTCTTATCCCACACTAGCCCTATAAGGTGCAACTCCATTGACCTCACTTGAATTACTCTGCTTTACAGATGAGAAAGTAAAAGGAGAATGAGGCCCACAAAATCATTACCCAATGACTCTGCTTATTCAGTGGTCGGTGTGAGAGGATTTTGAGGGCTCCCTCACTTTCCAGCAGTCATAAGCCACATCTTAAGGGAACACCTCCACAGAGAGTGAGAATACAAGGGTTGTAAGCAGTGGTAACCAAATGCCAGCAACATGCAGACCGCATGGGCACATGATTATTCATATTTTCATTAACACAACTCCACTCAGAATGAGGTCTGAAAGCACCCATAGGACACCAGGTGAGACACAACTGAGCATGTTTCCCTATTGCATGCCCCTCTCCTCAACTCTGAAAAGCACTTATACATGGCTGAAGCACAAGCTTATCTTTCAGAACATACAAGCTCCCTTTCATCAGATGACACATTTATTCTAAAATTGTAATCTTCCTATTTTTACCTTTTAATAGTATAAACTCTCCAGTCTCCCACCAGACCTGTCTCTGTGCCACCTTAGGATTCCCCTGGGCCAGAGGAATGCTCAGCTAGGGACATCCACCAGCTCTCCACCCCATTCGTAGTACAGTATAGGGGTGCTGTAAAGGGGCCTGAGTCCAAGGCCTTCTCAATATAGCTTGTGATGTTCTGTAGTATTCCTCACTGCAATATAGGCGTATTTGTACAAATACCCTTTACGTCTAATAGTGATGGGTTTGGCAGAGTTTTCATTTTAAGCTCCTGACCCAGCAATGCATTTAAGCAGGAGCTTAATTTTATGGATATGTGTAGTTCCACATCAATGCCAATTGCACTGGATCGTATGCTCAAAGTCAAGCACAGTGCTTAAACATTTTGCTTGGTCAAGTTCCAATCCCCTATCTTCAGAAAACTGGGCTCCAGCTTGAAGATATATTCACAAGATCTTAGCCCAAGAGGAATTTTTTTGCACAAAATCTGAAGGGAAGGGGAGAAAAAACCTCTACTATGTTGAGTTACATAAAAAACATAAGAAGCGAGTCTTTTCTGATTCTATCTCTGCATTTTGACTTGTACTGATTCCTCAAACCACCCTTTTTTGAGAAATTGAACTAAAGTCATTAAGGGCAACTTGAGGATTTGGAATTAAAGTCAAAATTTGTTTAAAATGAGATGTTACAGATGGTCATTCTATAAAGCAAATTAATTTCTATTGTGCTCTTGGAACAAAGATTTATATTTAAAAGCCTCATGGATAAACACTAAGTCCCCCCCCCCACACACTTAATGTGTCCTCAGGATTTTTATCATGCAATTTATTGCACACAAAGAAAATGGCACTCGCACATGACTTGATGAGATGGAATGACTTCAAGAAACAGGTGTACAGCCATTCTACAAAACATAAACGCCCCAGTTGTGGAACTCTTCTGGTGGTGAATGCTTACTCACGTGAGTCATTGCGCTAAAGTCATTAAGATTAGTCATGTAAGTAACTGACAGAGGAACTGCACAAACAGGCTTCTCGTATATGCATCATGGCAACACTACACAATATTTTTAGGAGGACAAATGAAAAATAACTTCTTCATTTGAAATTACAGCTGGACTATGAGTAGTCTGTAGCTATGTCACAAACCACAACAGCTTCCAAACTTGATATGAGAGTCTGAGAAAATTATGGTGTTGTCACTCTTATTTTAGAAACTCTTTGATCCCATATCTAATTTATCTGGGTGGTATCACACTCTTTAAATAATATTATCATCAATTCACGCAACAGAGCATAACAGCTCTGGGCAAATATTACAAAAAACAAAGTAAAACAAAACCCATTTAAAATTACTCTGATGTAAATGTGCAAAAGCCTGAGAATTCATGGTTCAGGATGAAGTCTCACGCAGATACTCAAGTTATCAACCTCTGCACATTGGCATGAGATTTTAAGATGGGACTTTCTGCCTAGACTTTAGAGATCCTTGTGTATGTGGGTCAAAGTAAGTTTTTAAATGTTCCTTATGGTTTTTTTGGGGGGGAGGGGTAGTTGAACAGTACTGAACATTGGACATTATATTCCTCGCAACCACCATTGCTAAGGCATTAAACCAAAGCAACGCTCTGCTGCATTTTCACAAGTCACTTTCAAAGACTCTTTTCTTGTTCATGAAATTCAATCTCTTAGTAATGAGAGGGGAGATGAGAAATATGTTTGAATCGGGCATCTCACCTGAATGCCGAAGAGCAGAGAATCCTTGTTCATCCTCCCATCCCCATGTTGGCTCACTCTCATTAAACACAGAACGGAAATCAGAAATTTCATGATGCCAGACTATATCTGCACTGTTATAATAAAGGGAAACTGAGAGGCATTTCTTAAGAAATCAGTCGAAAATACCACAAATTCAATAAATTATCACATTTACTATCAATAGTCCATTTCTCAGAAATTTACCATGGAGTTTCTCCAGAATTACTGGTATTGTAAAACACACAAAAATGAACAGCCTTAGAAGGTGAACAGCTTGATCATTGCAAATTCTTATATTTGTGTTGTGCTTTTTATATGCTCATAGACTTACAGACTTTAAAGCCAGCAGAGACCATTATGATAATCTAGTCTGATTGCTGGGCATTGCACACCACAGAACCTCACCCACCCGTTCCTGTAAAAACCCATAACCTCAGGCTGAGTTACTGATATCCTCAAATCATGATTTAAAGACTTCAGGTTACATAGAATCCATTACTTACACTACTTTAAACCTACAAGTGACCTATGCCTCATGATGCAGGGGAATGCAAAACCTCTTTCATGGTCTCTGCCAATTTGCCCCAGGAGAAAATTCTTTCCTAACCCCAAATATGGCAATTTAGACCCTGAGCATGTTGGCAAGACCAACCAGCCAGACACCAGCCAGCTTGGCCTACAGATGGTCATTGGTAACCTTGCCTCCTTAGCTGGTTTGATTTAAAATGTGTTCTTCTCTACCATCCAATAAAATAGGGCTTGAACTTGGTCCATGTAAATCAATGGAATGTTTGTGATGGACTTCAGTAGGAACAGGATTGAGCTCTTCAAATGCATGGAAAAAAACCCCACAGAGTATGGAAAGGGCTTGAAAGTATCAGCAGCAAATACCTAGATGTTAGGAAGGGGAGGTTATATGTCATCACCCATGATACTATAATAAAATGGGCCAGTCTCCTGACATAGTATTGTTAATAATTCAAATGTATTACTAACCCCAGATCCCGCTGCTGGATCAAAGTCTGAGAGTATGTCTAGACTACATGCCTCTGTCGCCAGAGGCATGTAAATCAGACTACCCGACATAGTCAATGAAGCCGGGATTTAAATATCCCCGGCTTCATTAAAATAAAAATGGCCACCACGTTGTGCCGGCTCAACTGATCGTTGGCACAGTGCGGTAGTCAAGACACGGTTTACAGGAGCGGTCGATAAAGGCTTCTCTTGTCGACCAATCCACGTCTTGACTGCCGCGCTGTGCTGACGATCAGCTGAGCCAGCACAGTGCGGCGGCCATTTTTTTATTTTTATGAAGCCGGGGATATTTAAATCCCAGCTTCACTGACTATGTCGGGTAGTCTGATTTACATGTCTCTGGCGACAGAGGTACGTAGTCTAGACACATCCTGAGTTACTAAATTCTGAAGCCCAACAGTAAAATAAATCTAATTATGGCAGGGCCAGTGCATCCCCTGTGCATATGCACGTGAGGGTGGAAGGATTTCCTCCTATTTTGGTGGGCTCTGTGCTCCATATAGGCACAGGAAGCAGGGACACTGGAGGAACACCAATGAATGGAGGACTGGCTGAATTCTACAGCACCAGCTGAGTTCAGTCCTGCTCTACTAACTCTCTTGGGCTCCCTGCTGAAACTGCTACAGAGCAGCTGCAGGGCAACTTAGAAAATGGGAGCACACCTCCAGCTGATGCCCTGCTATCTGGGGGATAGCTGGGTCATCAGAGAAACACAGCAGGATAGCCATTCATATATGTAGATAGTGCCTTCTCTGTGGATCCTCTAGATCTGAAGGCTTGGAGGGTATAATCCACTGCTCACCTGGCAGTCAGCAAAAGCCCGCCCATCAAAAGCTCTGAAATGTTTTGCAGGAAATGGTGCCAGGTAAAATCACATGGAGCATTTAGTCCTCTCTGCCTCTTTCCAATAGGTTTCTTCATGGGAGGAGGACAATTTGGCCCAATATTGGCAACATCTATCCATTTATATACTAGGTATTATCAGGTTTTCTGTAGTACCAGTCCAAACAATAAAGACTATCTAAAATAATTAACACTTATTAATTACGGGTTTATGATCTAATTGTATTTGTGAGTCTCAAGCAATAGCATGTCTGTCTACTCACCTGCTGATGCAGTCACCAGTCAGGGGGTCACAGCTTCCAGCACAGTCACATGGTCTGCAGCCATACTCTCCGAAGCCCCAATACCCCACCATGCACCGGTCACACTGAGGACCTGCCACTCCAGGTTTGCAGGGGCAGTCACCATTGCTGGGGTCACAGAAGGTATTAGTGCTGAAAGGAAGCAAGGCTGATCCAACCGGGTGGCAGGAACACACTGCCGTACAAAGCAAGTATATCATATAAGTGTATTTGGGATGGAAATTAGCAATGCTAGATAAGAATGCAGAGTAAACAGATTAGTTCATACAACACACAGCTGAGCTGGAAGTGCTCATTATTTTACACTCTTGTGGAGCGAGGTGTAATAGTTACCCAGAACTACTGGACTGGCACAGCACACACATTTTCCAGTCATTACATGAAATGTGAACTGACAATCAAGCAACAATTTTGCATGAAATAGTGTGACACACATGCTAAACCTAGCGAGTCTACTCATGATGATGTTGTTTCTGGACCTTATTCTCCTTACTTGTATGAACCTGACTGGAGGAATTCCCTCTAGAAATGACAAGACTTTAATTTTTATTGTATTATAATTAGTCAAATTAGCTTGATTGCGTGTTGTGTTTCGCCAAAAGTGGAAAGTATTACCACTAAGTATTTAGTCAGCTTATCGCTCTAGGGCCCCAACTCAGCAAGGTGCTTGAGCACATGCCTAACTTTAAGGTTCACACTGAAGGACCTTATTGAACCAGGACCTGGATCATCATTGTACATTCTCCAAAAAAGAATCATAACACAACTGCTTTCTGAGGTAACAATTCATAATGCTTTTGCTGCAAGACGGTTTGAAAAAGTCAATTTAATTTAAATGAATGATGGGTACAATTTAGTCCTTTTCTGGCATTTAAAAACTAAGTGGCCATTTTGAAATGCTGAATAAAAAATGAGGGCCCTGATAACAAAGGGTCACTCAGGTTGTATACAAAGCACCATCCTGCTCTTGTATACACCCTGAAACACCAATTTTTCTGAGTTTGTGTAAAGTTTTCTAATCAGAAAACTGAAAAGATTCATCATCCTTGAACAAGGAAAAGGTCTTCTTCACTCTTCTTTCATTTTCCTCTTCCCTGTTTACAAGTCTCATATATCAGAAGCTTTCCTTATGAGTGGAAAAAATCTACATGTGGTTCTTTCTGAATACCATCAGTGTTGGTCAATATAGCAGCCACAGGAATTGTCAGAAAGCAAGGTTACTTTTCTTCTCGGAGAAAAGAGAGGGTACAGTAGGGACAGACAAGGAGACAGAGAGATAAATCCCACCTTCCAAAATGGAAAAAAAATGGAGGCACTTCTACATGGAAAAGTTTGGAATTTTTCTCCCCTTACATTTTCCCATATGAAATCTAAGCCTCCTTTTGCTGTCTTTGGCATCCAATATACACAGGGCTGAAAAAGGGTCCAAATTTAAATCAGGGAATTTTTTTCAGTTTTTTGGGGGGTTCAAATTCAAATACCAAGAAATTTAGACTGAAAATAAAAATAATTTGGTCTGGAAATAACTGCTAGGGAGTCTTATGGGAGCTGCCATTTGGATGCCTCAAACCTCTGATTCTCTATTATAGGCTCTCTGGTCAGAGCACATCTCCCATGATGCATTAGAATCTTTTTAGAGAGGGGAAGCTGTACATCATGGAAGTTCCTGGCTGTGGTGCATTATGGGAGCCCAGGATAATGGGGACATAAGTAAATCAAATGGCTACTCCATTAGGGCATGTCTACACTGGGGAGTTATTTCGAAATAATGGGCTTGTTACTTCATAACAATAACTCCTGCTTGTGAAGAGGATAACGCTTATTTCAAAACTGTAATTTCGACATAGTGTTAGTGTGGATGCTCATCTGTTGTTATTTCAAAATAACTACTCCCCAGAGTCACTGAAAGTAATTGCACCCCATGCTTCCTGGGGCGTTAAGTCAAGATAGCTCATCCCCATTAAGGAAGCCTGCCTCAGACTAATTTTGAGGCTTCCCTGTAGTGTGGACGTGCTATTCCAAAAGTTATTTTGGGAGTTATAATTTTGAAATAACCTATTTTGAAATAATTTCCCAGTGTAGACATAGTCCCAGGCACCACAGTGTTATTTCCAAATCTAAATATTACAGTTTTCAAGCATTTTTTTTTTTACAAAAAAATCATTTTTTTTCACAAAAAATTTAAACTTACATTTAGCTAAAACAAGATTGGGCAGATTCCGACCCATGGGCTCGATCTGGTCTGGATCCAGTCCGCAGGGTTAATCCCCAACAGTCCCCCACCTCCATATTTACCTGCACCTCCACAAGTATTGGAGGATTGCAGCTCTGGTTGGCCATGAATTACCATTCGTGGCCAATGCAAGCAGCGGGTAGCAGGGACCCGGTCTGATCTGATGATGTTTCAGTAGTTTGACGTACCTGAACTGCAGTTTTAACAGACTAAGTTAGCCTTTAATATTGGCAGCCAATTCACAATACTGCCTGTGGTATAGAATCTGCAAAACCCCCCTCCCAAAAAATCCAACAGTGTCTAAACAAACAAAACACCCCCCTCTCCACTCCAGCCCCTTCTTCCCCAAACAAATACAATTATAGAAAATAAGACGATAAAAAATCCTCTACATAAACTGCATAACTAGCTGCAGGCAATAGACTTTAGTACCTTTAATAGCATAGTTTTCAGCAGTGCTCACTGAAGCTCGCATACCTTTGTCCTGAAGGCTGTCAGGTATTTTACACTTGACACGGGCATTCAAACATGCTATTTTCTTACTCAATGCAATGGATATTTATGGCATTTCTCAACCCCCTTAGGGGAAAATAAAGTACCCTACACTCTTCTGGTCTCATGCATTCAGTGGGCTAAATTCACCAGTGACATACATGGATTCAATTCTGCTGAAGTCAATGGAATTGTATTGCCTTAGGCTAAGGATGAATCTGGTACAGCAGGTTACATTTTAGCCAATATTTTCTCCATTTTTTCCTAAGAGCTGCTGTTTGGAGACCCAGTTCTCACAGTTTAATGGATTCTGTAATACCAATAACTAAAATTATCCCATGAAAGCTGGTAGCAAAGATCCAATCTGAGCATAAGAAAGAGCTGAACTGAATCAGAGACACACATTTAGTTGATTATATTTTAACTTTCCTTTTACAGCCTGGAAGAGTCAAATTTTCATAGACCCCTCACCCTCACATTTGCTCACCTACATTTTTTGTCTTTATATTTTGAGATTTGGAAGCAGCTCCTGGCAGTTTGCCCCTAAAATCAGCATTCACAAGTATTCTTGACACTTCAACTCAGAAGTATGGCTTGACGGCAAAATCATTTTTCCCTTGGCCATCTGAGGCAGGGTTCTTGGAAAAGTCTCTTTGAACAGGTGAGAGTTGCCTTTTGAAGTTGGGAATACAAATTATAGAAGATGCTTTGCAATCCCCCAACCTCTGCTCTCCCCCAAAAGAAAACATTTTAAATTGCTAGAGACTAAGGGCCAGAAAAATTATTCAAGCAAATTCATACTATTCTTGCTAATCTTAACTAGGAGGATGATCAGACCAGAGCCATTGTAACTAAAGGTAGTTACATATGTAAGGAACTAAAAATTAGAGCTGGTTTAACTAGATGCAACTCCCACAGAAGCCGTAGGGTCAAATTTAGTCAAGGAAGCAAACTATTGTACAAAAGCTACACATTGATGTAATCATAGAATCATAGAATCATAGGACTGGAAGGGACCTCGAGAGGTCATCGAGTCCAGCCCCCCGCCCTCAAGGCAGGACCAAGCTCTGTCTAGACCATCCCTGACAGATGTCTATCTAACCTGTTCTTAAATATCTCCAGAGAGGGAGATTCCACCACGTCCCTTGGCAATTTATTCCAATATTTGACCACCCTGACAGTTAGGAATTTTTTCCTAATGTCCAATCTAAACCTCCCCTGCTGCACTTTAAGCCCATTACTCCTTGTCCTGTCCTCAGAAACCAAGAGGAACAAATTTTCTCCTTCCTCCTTGTGACACCCTTTTAGATATTTGAAAACCGCTATCATGTCCCCCCTTAATCTTCTTTTTTCCAAACTAAACAAGCCCAGTTCATGAAGCCTGGCTTCATAGGTCATGTTCTCTAAACCTTTAATCATTCTTGTCGCTCTTCTCTGTACCCTTTCCAATTTCTCCACATCTTTCTTGAAATGTGGTGCCCAGAACTGGACACAGTACTCCAGCTGAGGCCTAACTAGTGCAGAGTAGAGGGGCAGAATGACTTCACGAGTTTTGCTTACAACACACCTGTTGATACAACCTAGAATCATATTTGCTTTTTTTGCAACAGCATCACACTGTTGACTCATATTCAACTTGTGGTCCACTATGACCCCTAGATCCCTTTCCGCCATGCTCCTCCCTAGACAGTCGCTTCCCATCTTGTATGTATGGAACTGATTGTTCCTTCCTAAGTGGAGCACTTTGCATTTCTCTTTATTAAATGCATAACATTTGGTCAGAAAATGATGCAGGCAGGAAAGCGGTGTAAAGTTCACTGATCTGGCATTCAGGGAGTCAGACCATCAGGCTAAGACTATCTGCTAAGGCTGCTTTGTAGCAATGTACCAATGCAAAACAGCTACAAGCTCTATCTGAAAGGCCCCCTGAGAATTCCAAGGGAATTCTTTAGTGACATAAGCCGCTCCCTGGCTAGCACCCCCACTGTAATGGGCATGGCTGGCGTACAAGTTGGTGATTCCAAGCTGGAAAGTCCCACGAGGCTGTTCTCTGTTATGCCTGGCAATCCATTCCAGGGTCCTGCAATCCTCTGTATCTTTTTTGCTCCTGAACTTCTCCAGGTGCACAGAAACTGGCTCCCAGGATCTGGCCCAGTAGCTGCACAAAGTAAATGTAAGTTATGGGGCCAAGAAGAAGAAGGTAGGTTTTCCGGAAAAGCAACAAGAAGAGGAGTAGCAAAATAGAGGTAGGTAATTAGCTGCTTTCCTCTGTCCCTTACAAGATATATAACTCCTGCTGCCTCCTTGGCATGTCTGTAATACTTGTTTCACATCTGCTGGCAGGGCCAGGGATGGGGGTGGAAAGAAAAGTGAGCCTGTTAATTTAAGGAAGCAGGGGCTCCCAACTGCTGCCACTGTTACTGGAGCCATGGCAGCAGCTGGAAAGAGGC